CAACATAGGATACAATAACACATTAGTAAACCACAAGTGGATATCCTCTAACATGTCATAGGACTAACATATTAGGCCAGGCCCAAAACATTAAAACTTCTTGTGCTATTATGAAGTAATATATATTTTAGTTAGTTTACTTGCTCCTTAAAAAAAAACACCTGCATAATTAATTAGCTTTACTAGGAAGAAAACCAAAATTGAAATACAATGAATACTCAAGAAGAATGTTTCAACAGTTTCTCTAATTCTAAAACTATTTCAAAATTACATTTACACAAGAATAATTTTTTATTTGCTTTTCTTTTGAATAATTTTGTATGAGGTTTCTTTTCTTTTTTGTTGTTGCTAATCCTCACCTGAGGATTTTTTTCCATTGATTTTCTTAGAATGGGAGTGGAAGGGAGGGTGGGGGGAGGGAAGGAGAGAGAAATACTGATGTGAGAGAGATTGGTTGCCTCCTGCACATGCCCGACTAGGGCTGGGCGAAGTGGGGCATCGAACCTACAACCCAGATAAGTGTTCTCAACCATTTGGTGCATGGGCTGATGCTCTAACCACTGAGAACACCGGTTAGGCTATATGAGATTTTCTACGTAAATAAATAATCCATATATTTAACATTAAAATCCATTGTATTAACCAATAAATTTTTTTTAACCATTTCCTAACTGCTAAATATTTAGCTCCCCTCTACCCTGGGGTGATTTTATGTATCGAATTTTAAAGTTGACCTGGATAAAAGCAGAAATACTGACAAATTCCTATAGTTTCAACTCAGAATTTTAGTTCAGAGAAATCAATCTCATTTTTATCAGAAGTGGTGTGGTTCTAGAATAACTGATAAATCTAAGGGTTTCTCTCCTTTCACCTTGTATTCAGAACTTTTTCACCTTTTTTATCCATGTCCAACTCTAGATTTTTTATTAGCAATTTTGAAGATTATTTTTGTCTAATTGCCAAGATTATCATTCACCCTCCCTCCCTCCATCTATACACACACACACACGCGCACACACACACACACACACACACACACACACAATTGATTTGGGGGATCAAGCCCAAAACTGGGGCATGTGCTCTGACCAAGAATTGAACCGGCGAACTCTTGGTTCATAGGTCGATGCTAAACCACTGAACTACACCGGCCAGCCAAGAATTTTCTTTCTCTTGAAGAAAACGTGTCATTTACAAAAATATCTTTCAGGAAATGTGTAAGAATATAATGATACACAACTTCAAATTATTAACAAAACACCACTTCTATTGGGAATTCAATTTTCTATATAGTTCCATTTTGGCTGGAACATAGCTTTTAACATCTAAAACTCAATTAGTTCTGGCCATCAGAAATCAAGAATCTATTAAGATTTTACACAGATTCCATTAAGATAGTTGTCTACTATCCCACTTAAATAATCCCTGAACATACAGAATTGCCCTATAAGTATGAATATAAGGCACATAGTTTCTTTTCAAATATATATATTTTAAAAAGTCAAAATAGGCTTTAATTTATTAATTACTAAGGTTCCTTATTCACACATAAATACCAGTATCTTTGTGTATTTGCATATTTGTAGGCATTCCTATAACAGTCTACATTTACCACACTGAATATCACTGTGCTTTGTCGAGGGTGTGTGTGTTGTGTGTGTGTGTGTGTCTGTGTGTGTACATGCATGTGCTTGCACCAGATATCCATTAATAATCTTTTATTATACTCTAAGAGAAAAATGTTTACTGTCACCTTAATTTTCATTTATTTATTAAGTAAAGTTGAACTTTCCATGTTTATTGAATGCTTATTTTCCTTGGAGAATAACTGCTGATGTCCTTCACTACTTTTTCCAATCGGATTGTTTTTGTTCATTTGTATATAAGAGATCTTTGTAAATTAGAGGAATTGGTCAACTTGCTATTTACAATACACATATACAGCTATTCATACATAATATTCACTGACTGCCTACCAAACGCCAGACACTGTTCTAGCCACTTAACACAAGTATCCAAATTGTTAACTTCTTGTAAGCATTATTTTATGTGGCTATCTGATATTCAATGCCATAGATAAAGCATAATGGGGGGGGCAGGAGCGGAGTGGAGGGGGTCACTGGGGAGAAAAAGGCGATATCTATAGCACTTATTCAACAGTAAGACTGGAGGCAGCCAATCAATGATTCTCTCTCATTACTGATGTTTCTATCTCTCTCTCCCTCTACTTTCCTCTCTGAAATCAATGAGAAAAATAAAAAAAAGAGAATGCATAACATTAAGATTTGTTTCATTTCTTTCTTTCTTTTTTTTAGTTAACCAAATGTCCCAGATTTATTTTATTTTCCATTGATTTTTATTTTTTTTATTTTTTAAATATATTTTATTGATTTTTTACAGAGAGGAAGGGAGAGGGATAGAGAGCTAGAAACATCGATCAGCTGCCTCTTGCATATCCCTGACTGGGGATGTGCCCGCAACCAAGGTACATGCCCTTGGCCGGAATCTCCCCCGGGACCCCTCAGTCCGCAGGCAGACGCTCTGTCCACTGAGCAA